TGTTTTGTATCATTCTTTAAACGGTGCAATAAAGAGTAAATAAATAAATGTTTGAGTAAAGATTTCTAGTAAATTCGATACTCGATACAATAGTTTGTTTCAATAAAAATGTAAACTAATAAAAAATTTTAATTTAAAGATTTAATGTTTCGGATTGTTTTGATTTATGTGATAAAAACTTGATTACCTTTTCATTAAATTCTATTACTAAAGACTATGCTTATATTTACCTCTTCCTTTACCCAGGTTGGCGTTAAAGGCAACTAAAAGAACTTAAGGATCGCGGGATTGGCAGCAGCGTCCCTCTCAAAACATTACCAAAGCTTAACTACGGTTCCCAACCTGTTTGCTAAGCGTGGCAAGTATTGGCAAAACCTTCCAATTTATGTAGGAGGTCTAGTTTCAATAATGGATAGATAACGGTTGATAAATTTTCATTCAATCGTTCATTTATTCAATCCATTCCTGATGACTAAGATGTTCTGCCTATGTACTCTGTAATTTTAGTTACGATTAGTTTTTTTTTTTTTCAAAAAAACTCGAATACTGTAAAGTTCGAATCAGTACGTCACTAATTCGGCAAGCTGGCCATACATACATAACGTGTACATGTCTTGACTAAAGTAAATGACTTGACTACGGGTATATTGACAATCCAACTATTTCCTGCTCAAACGTGTACGTAAATTTTATTTACTATTTGAAATACATAGTTAACAAACTTACGACCCACTTGTCGGATATTAGCGTTATGGTTTTTTTTTATACAACTTAGAATGGCAAACAAGCTGACGGCCCACCTGATGGAAAGTGGTAACCGTCGCCTATAGACACGAGCAGTACCATAGACATAACAGAGTGTACTGTTTCGCCCATGATACCCCCATGCGTTGCCATTTAATTAAAGTTAGTTAAATTTAGTTAAAATGTTATTTAATATACAAAATATAAAACTATATAAAAATTAAAAAAAAAAAAACATATTTTCAAGCATATTCTACAAAATAGAAAACAAGTTCTTCCTAAAAATCAAATATTTTGTACCAAATATGTCGATGGATTTGTGGTCAAGCAGTAAGACGTTATAATGACGACACATCCTTACCACAGGATTGTAATAAGAAGTGTTATTCTTGTAAAATTCTTCACGATGGGCTGATGATGATAACTGACCTGCTTTCATCCTCACTTTTCACCCACTGGTGCCGTGCCAGCGTATACCGATAGGGCAAACGGGGTTATTATTTTATTATCATCCATAAAAATTTAAACTGGACCTGTGCTGGAACTGTTGTCGCGTAAGTTTAGGGTTGCGATACGACCACCAATGTTTATTATGTTGATTAAAAAGTCCAATTCTTGTACACAAACACTCATCACCGAAGAGAATATTCGCGTTGGGATTATTCAATACCCAGTGAAATGCAATTCTCGGCGGCTGATCTACTGTAGACAACTCTTGTACCTTTCGATAATGGTATGGCTGCATCCCAGCTGAGTTGACAATTTTACATGCACAGTACTAGCTAATTCCGAAGTGACGAGCCACGTCGTTCGTTATTCTCCGTGGTTCTTCTTCAAAGTATACGAGGAAAACGTCGTTTTGCAAATAGGCGGAACCCCTCGTCCTTGTGCGTATGATAGAGTGTGAAAGAAACCATAGTCCAATAGACGTTGGTAAACACTTAACATTGTGCTGTAATATGGCTGCCGGGCGTTCAGGTACAAATCACATCTGTAATGCTACACTTAGTCTTGCATAATTCCATACTAGCTTTTAATGTATGGATTTGGTCAGGAAACATCGTGCCAACGTTTAATTAAATGATGAAATCACAATACGAGTAGTGCCAACTTAACCAACAAAAATACTGTCAAATGTGATGCAAATAGCTGTCATTTCAACTATTTGTGGAACAGTTTCAGGTGAGTATTTCATATTTCTTTTTATTTTGACGTGGGAATTACCATAAAATATAATTAATGTTGACTCGTATTATGAGCTTTACTCAAGAAATTGACCAGATATTACGGGAAGTGTTGAAAACTTCTCTTTACTATCAATAATATTACAAAATTGAGATCTCAAGGTAATATTGTGTAAAATAATAAATGTATTTAAGAATATTACATTTTGTTTTATTTTTGCTATTAAATATTCATCGGAACATGTAATTTGACATAAAATTTATATAATTCTTTTATCACATGATTTGTGTTTCTACTCTCAAACTATAGTATAATTATAACTTATTCGTTTCCATTTTGAACATCGGGCTGGCCAACACAACGATATAAGGAAGATTTTTGTGTAGATTGGTAAGATATTCCTGACCGTATTCGTTTTACGTTTCATACAGAAGTGCGCTCTCTTATCCCTTGATTATATACTCTTTGCCCCGGATAAGAAATGCGCTCGTAACATGAGTACGTATTTACGCAACGTAAATTGATAAGCCATAATAACACTTTCAGTACTCAACCATAAAGATAGATATTTTGCGCACGCGACGGCAACTCACAACTAGTCGCTATTCTGGTAATGTCACCCATCCGCTTGTCCTGCCTCGTGTGAGGATTACCTTACCGGCGATATGTTTTGATGCTCTTAGGCGGATCACGCGCCGCCGGCGGGAAAGGGATTGTTAGTAATGGGGTCAAATAGCCCCATTTTTAGCAATATACCCTGTCAGGTCGACCTCCACGTGGTTCTCCCTGAAAACTATCGTGGCTAATATTTAGAACTAACAAAATTTTTCATCGTGCCTCCCACCAAACTGTTTATAATTACTGCTCTCCATCCAAAGGTTGCCTGGAAGAGATCGCTCTTAGCGATAAGGTCGCCCATTGTTTTCTCATTGTGATTATTTCTTATAATTGTTTGTATTTATAATAAGTTTACTATTGTAATCTTTTGGAGGAAACAATAAAGAGTATCTATCTATCTATCTAATTCTAGTTGAATTCGTCAGAATGGGCTAACTGACCTGCTTTCATTCTCATCAGTCATCTATCACTGGTGCTCCGTCAGTGTATACCAATAGCGCAGACGGGGTAACTATACCATTATCACCCATTAAAAAAATAATTACGCGCTACCGTACCGTCTGTGTAAACGCTAGTAGGTATCTTTAATAAAGCGAAGGTATCGTTGATAAAGCAAAGTTTATACTATTTAGTTATATATATATATAATTTCTCGTAAATTTTATGGATAATTAAAAAAAAAATAAGTTTTTTGTGTATACTTCAACGGTATCGAGTACCGAGTATGCTATTTTTTCATGTTTTTTCATGGTATTTAAATTTTAAGTGAATTTATTACATAGAATCTTACAGTGCATTATAGTTTAAACAAATAAATTACAGTCTTATTGAAAGAGACTACAATACCGCTTTGCCTGTTACAACATATTGTTCCCAATCATTTTTCAATACCTAAAGCACTAAAACGCATCGAATATCATCGATAAAAACAATCTCACTCAATAAATACATATTTTAATACACTATTAAATACTAATACACCAATTAATATTTATCTATCGTCAATTAAAAACAGTAATAAATGTAAAATATACACAATTAATGTTCAAAACATGAGTTTTACATCATTGATGCGGGCGAGTCGTAGCGCTGGTGAAACTGTAAATTGGATACCACGTACGCTTGGCTTACCAATAGAGTATTGTTTATGAATTTGTTTTGACATTGACATTGACATTGACACGTGACATTGTGCAACTGGAGTATGACAATGACAAATAGTACCCATTCATTGCTTCTTGACGTGCTAGGACAAATTCTGAAAGTGTATAATCAATGGTAAATGGATTATAAAGTTATAGAGATTTTTTTTAATTGTAAATGGCAATAAATATGAACAAAATTAGCCACTCACTGACTACTACGATACAGGCCTGTGAGCCTAGTGTAGTAATCACTGTATAAGAAATTGTATACCCGACTTTTAGCTACAATAAAGTTATTATTATTATTATTATTATTATATATATATATATATATATATATATATATATATATATATATATATATATACTCGGTTGTATTTTTATGTTTGTTACCTCATAACTCCGTTAGTTCTAAACCGATTTGGGTTTACCTAAATAGATATACTTACAGATTAGTTCTATGGAAATTTAATCAATATCGGTTGAGGAGTTTTTAGATCAAAACAACTGGTTTTATCACAAAATAAAGTCGGTTTTTGTGGGACCTATTATTAATTATTAAATTAGGTGCTAGAGCGACGAGTTGTTTTTTCAAAATAGAAAATCCTACCCAAAAGTTTGTTGATCTTTTGCAGATTGTGGTTTTCTTCGCTTTATTCCTTTATCTACACTAATATTATGAAGAGGAAAAATTTGTATTTTATAATAAACTCGAAAATTACTTTGCCTATTTCAAAAATTCTTTCATCATTAGAAAGCTACATTCATTCCAAGTAACATAGGCTATATTTATTTTTAGAAAAGATTAGTGATCCTTACTAAAACTTTAGTAACGTAACTCAAGGTGTAAAAAAATGCTATAAAATATTTTTCGTCGCGTGCGCTGCGGAAACTGTTGGTGATAGAACAAAAGTATGTTCTACAATATTGAAGAAAATATCAATAACTACAAAAAACTTCCCGATACTATATGTCTAACTATTATCGTTATGTCACAATAATCACTTTTTAAAATGTTGTAAAAATGTCCACTCGTGCGAAGCCGGGACGGGCCGCTAGTTCAAATATAGTATTAAATATGGTAGTTCACAGTACTGATCGTGATGAATTCATCAGGCATTAATCATGGTGGTTTCATGGAAGGCCCACATAGAGGTTTATTTGATTTGAGCTTTATTATATTGTTTTAAGGCAAAAATATGTAAGGCCTACTACAAATGAATAGAATAGAATAGAAACATTTATTGCCAGTAAATTATATATTATTTATTTATTATTATTATTAACAAATTATATAGATATCTAGTTATTTACCTTTTTAATGTTTATTATGTCCTATAACTTCAAACACCATCAATTCAAGACTCTAATTCCCTTATGGCGTAGCACATAAGCTCATATGTTGTGAACGACATTACACTGGTCACTTGCGCCTTACAAACAGTCACCTTCCACCCTCTGTACAGGCCACGAATCCCTTCCTTTTTCAGGGTTTTGATTATGCAGTCAGCTAGATTGGTACATTTCACTAGGTTTCTCGATGTACTTGGTGTTTGGTATCTGAAGTCTTCTTTGTGAGTCTAAATAGAAAATTTAATATTACTTGTTTTGGAGAGGGAAAGTTGGTATCGAATCATGAGGTGGATGTCTTTTTTTAATGTATGATAATTGAATGGTAACCCCACTTGCGTTATTGGTACATCTAGCGAGTAACAAGTTAAAAGTAAGTCAGTTAGCCCGTCGCGATGAATCAGCATGAACTAACCACAATGGTTGCCAGGGAAAAGGCGTGGAGGTATGGCCTGATAAAATAGGGCTTTTATACCGCATTAATAATGACTCCCTTCCCCCTGGATATGTTTTATCTGTATTTCAGTTGCTACTTATCTGTGCTTGTAAGGTTGTGTTTTGAAGAGAGAAATGTGACAAAGACATTGACATTAGCTTAGGAAACAACATTCACGGAAATTAAACAGTTAACCAATTAGCAATTTAGTAGAGGAAAGTATACAAAGAGAGAAACAAATAAAGTCCATGTGGCACCAGAACCTTATTGTGGCATGCCTTGAATAATATGTACTTGTAATATGCTATAAAAATATTTATATTATATTTTGATTAAATTATCTATATTTTACCAGAAGGAGACTGCACAAAAGTCGATTGCTTGGGTACCTCTGTCCCATTCGTTTTTCAACCGTAAAGCAGCTGTCTGCATGGCTGTTTCGGTTTGAATGGTGGGATATGGCGTGAATTTACAGGGTACAGTGTAATAACACCCGAGTCCTCAGGAATGGCAACGCATGGGGTTATCATGGGCGAAATCGTATGCTCTGTTATGTCTATGGTACTGCTCATGTCTACATTTTTTGACCTACATTTTTATCGTCAACTATCACTCCTCACTGGTGCACCGCCAGTGTATACCTTTAGCGTAGGCGGGATTACCATTTCCACCATTTCAAGTTAAAATATGCTGAGCACGGACTTACATCACAGAACATTGTGACACACACACGCACACGAGTACACATTTGCTTTTATTGTTTTTTTTTTTTATTTGTTTAGTTTTTTAATTACATTGTTATTTTTATTTTATTTATTTATTAGAAACCAACGGCGTTACAGTTAAGATTTACATACTAGTATTTAAAATATTAAGGCTAATAACAGGTTTCTTATTATTATAAAAGTACAAAATTGGTTTGCGCAAAAAAAAAAAGGAAAAGTACAATGCAGACATTCAATCAAAAGACACTCGAATACAAATATTTACCAATGCATGTATGTTACAGTATATTCAGTACTGCTATATTGATTTATTATATTTAGTTTTTTCATTTATGTGCGAGCCGCATAATATGCATATATAGTATAAATTCTTTCTTTCTTACCTAACTGTGTATATTGCTAGCAATTTCCTCGGTTTCCTAGTCAGTTAGCTGTGTAAATTTTAGTCGTATACCGATGGATGCTAATGTAAATATTGGGGGTAGAAAACCGATCACTGTCTAATAAATCAGTGAGAAATCATTGCCTATGTATGTACTAATGATCTGGACTATATGTTTAGGCTTACGTAAAGCCGGTATGCGGCAGCCGCACTCCGTAATAAGTGTAATGATGACAGTTGTAACAAATCATCAGCGAACGCCGGATATATCCATTGCATTGCAAATAAACAAACACGTAAGCAGTATGTAACTATTGAATAATATCAATAGTATAAATAACAAAATACCTATTTTTTTTATGCAACTTAGAATGGCAAACAAGCTGACGGCCCACCTGATGGAAAGTGGTAACCGTCGCCTATAGACATGAGCAGTACTATAGACATAACAGAGTATACTGTTTCACCCATTATACCTCTCATACGTTGCCATTCCTGATGACTCAGGTGTTATCCCTCTGTACCCTGTAAATTCACTGCCATATCGCCACCCTTCAAACCTAAATTGTACTTTATTTATAATTTATAATAATTTAAATACAATTTCCATCATTTACATTATATTATTATTCATATTGTTAATATCTTTACTCATATAATGACATTTAATAATTTAATTCTATTTTAATGTTTATCAAACTCAAGGCACGTTGTGGTCGCCTATAAATGTAAGAACAGTTAGATCTAATCTGCCAGTGTATTGTATTGAAATGTTTCGCTGTATCTTATGTTGGTAATCCTATAAATAAATAAATAAATAAACACAGCCACGCAAACACAACTGCTTCACGGTAGAAAAACGAATGGGACAGAAAATTTAAAAAAATCTAGACGTATTCTATTTCACTTCTAACATCCCCCCTGACTCGGTTTTTAGTGTTTTTTTTTTATTTTTTTTCTATGTACTCATACAGACATTCGGCCTCTACAGTTTTATTATATGTATTATTAGATGAATTAATGAAAAAAAAAACTCACAGCGATTTGAAGTCTCCGTTTAGCCAAGTCGAAGGGGTATGTGACACTTTTGGCAACGAATCCCGCTACCGAGCCGGCTATGGTACTGGCCACGAGGAGATGCTCAGGTTTGTTGGTGTTGCTGGAGGCGTGAACACACTGACCGGAGCTGCAGTCGTGGAAATAACTGAGTATACGCGGCTGGAGGGACTGGAACACGCCGAATGAGATACCAACAGACGGTCCCATCTGTAATGAACGGAGGTAACTAGATAATTACGTAATTTATTTATTTATTTAACACTTTATTGCACCAATATAACAGGACCTTTTTTTTATGGATGACAGTGGAATCTCTCGGACTGGAACTCCGCCTGTGCTATCGGTGTACGCTGGTGGGGTACCAGTGAAGGATGATAGGTGACTATGAAAGCAAGTCAGTTAGCCCATCGTGACGAATTCAATGACAAACTAGTCACGATGGTTTCCAGGGGAAACCGCGTGGAGGTCGACCTGATGGGGTATATTTATAGCAATGGAGACTAGCCTCTCCATTACTAACAATCCCTTCTCCCCAATATAACAGGACTTGTTGAAGGATTTTCAATAAATATAGTAGTATAAAAGGCGGTCTTATTGCTAAGCAATCTCTTACAGACACTAGACTTAGACTACCTTTGGGTAGAAAGAATTAAAGAATAAATAGGTAGGTGGCGCGTTAAAAAAAAAAGATCTAAACATGTATAAATATGTACAATTATATTCATACATATATATATATATATATATATATATATATATATATATATATATATATATATGTATATATGTACAATATTAACATACATATATAACACACATAATTCTGGTAGGAAGTAAGGCGGACTAAGTGATTATAAGGATAGGTATTGGGATTAAATAAAATTTTCAAAAATAGCCAAATTAAGATTGTGTTCCACGAAAGAACCGACTTCATTTAAGGCAAACTTAATTATGTTAATTTAAAAACTAAACAAACTGAACTTATTATGATAAAATGCCTATGGGACCAATCCGTATAGTATAGTATAGTATATTTTTCAAATAAAAAGATAATTTTCTTTATTCTTTATTGTACACAAAAGGTTATTAAAATGTAAAAACAAACATAATAGTGCACAAATGCGAGCTTATCTCCAATAGATATTTCTTCCAGCAAACCCAATATGAGAAAACTGACAGTTCATTAGTAGTTACAGTCATACATGTGTAGCAATCGACTTAAATGTTATAGTTAAAATAAATAAATAAAATGTTTTTACAAGTGAAAAGACCAATTTTCCTAATCGATTTAAAACTGATGGAGTTGTGAGGTAACAAACATTAGCAAATACAACTGAATTGGGAAATCCCTTTTTATTTGAAGATGGTTAAAAAGAGGTACAAAAATGATATCAAGCAATTGGATAGGCATTACTAAATTGATAAGTTTAGAGTCACGATATTCTCCCTCACTTTCGTCGACAAAATTTTTATATTATCTGTTCTTACATGTTGTTTGTTTATACATTGATGGCAGACAACAGGCAAGATTCGTGAGGAAGAGATTATTAGTAATGGAGAGGTTAGTCCCCATTGCTATCAATATACCTTATCAGTTCGACCTCCACGCGGTTCCCCTAGAAACTATGTGATTAATTCTAGTGGAATTCATGACAAGCTGACTTATTTTCATTGCCACTTATCATCCCTGGTGCCTCGCCAGCGTATACCGATAGCGCAAGCAGGGTTGTTTTTTTTATGGGTGAAAATGGTATGGTAACCCTGCCTGCGTTAACGGGATACGCTGGCGGAGCACCAGTGAAGGGTGACAGATGAGAATGAAAACAGGCCAGTTAGCCCATCATGATGAATTCATCAGGAATTAACCATGATAGTTTCCAGGGGGAACCGCGAGGAGATCGACCTGGTTGGGTATATTGCTAGCAATGGGTTTCTCAGTCTCCATTACTAACAATCCCTTTCCCCCCGCACAGGCAGGGTTACCATTACATTATCACTCATAAAAAAAGTATATTATAATTTATCGTATTATTTTGCATATAATTATATTAAGTTACCTGCAGTAAAGACGCGCTGAGACCCTCATAAAATGCCAGGATACCCCCATGGTTGTACACCGCTTTGGCACCGTTGAACAAGCCCCGGTACTGTTCCTTCACTATCATTTGCCTCACTCTGATCACCTCTATGGGTAGCACCAGAGTAGCACAGCAGCAGCCGGAGAACACGCCGCATAGGAAAAATAGATATGGTCTGAAATAACGTCGATCCAGTGTTTATTATTTTTTTTATATTACTTCATTGAAAATTTTAACTTTTTACTTAGAACGTGGGTCACTAAATAAGTCTGCCGTGTGGTCCCACCATAGAATAGGCCACCCCTTCCTTTCCTGTGGGTGTCGTAAGAGGCGACTAAGGGGATTAAAAGATCGATGGATGGTCCCTCTTAAAACATTTTCAAAGGCTAACTGCTGTTGTCAAAACACCTGTCAAGCGTGGCAACTACTGGCAAAACCCAGGCATAAAGGGAGGCCTATGTTCAATTGTGGGCAATTAGTGACTTATATGATATAATAATACTATATTGAAAATTTCAACTTTTTGATATGTCGATCGATTTAGAACCTATGTCACTCGGTTATTTAGATCTATATTTTTCACCCCTAGGGGGTCGCGACTTCTATAGGGGGTCGCGAAAACTATCGCAATAAAAAAAAAAACAAAGTTAAAAACATAGATTTGTTAAGAATAATGATAACTAAAACATTTGTATGTTACGATTAATAGAAATTAACAAATAAGTCGGGGTTTAAATTATATATAAAAATTATATAAAAAAAATATTTTTTCATACTAGGGGGGTCGTGTCATGAAAAAGGTTGAAAAGCACTGATCTAGTATAAGTTAAATAGATTTTTTTAACGAGTGAAGGTAATATATCTTATTATATACTTTATTGAACTATTTATAAAAAAAAATAGTTAATTTTAATGTGTCAAAAATAATGTCACAAAAGGCGGCCTTATCGCTAAGTAATCTCTTCCAGACAACCTTTGGGTAGAGGGCATTGAGAAAAAGACAAATAGAAATGGGTAGTGTTATAAAATATTAAATATATATACAATATAAAATATAATTACGCTTAAAAAAATTTATTTTATTAAAATAAACTTAGTTTCCAATTAAAAGCCTGTGTACAATATGAAGCAGCTGTAGTCGCTACGATATTTTGCTATTTTATTATATTAGGCGTCTTATTAATAAATAGTAAATACATCCTAAATTGCTAGCAATAGAAACTAAGACGAATGAAATTACATTAACACAGATTCTTTAAAAAAAAAAAGCAAAAATATATCGATAAATGCCGAGATGTTTTGTAGACACATTGAATAAAAACATTTGAATTTAGGATGGGGAATCTTCTGTATTAATAGAAAAAACGAGTTCTTGTTCTTGAGTGGCGACCTCGTACTAACAAACGTAGGGTAAAACAACCCTCCAATAGATGGAGTAACAAATTCAAATGTATTGAAGGGAACCAGTGGATACAGGTGGCTCGGGACCGTTTCTTATGACAATGTATGGGGAAGACCTATGTTCAGCAGTGGACTTATAAAAAAAAAGGTATTAAAAAAGAAAAACGCTAGCTTCAATCACAGCAAAATAAATATGGTATCAACATTTTTTTTTTAGAATTGTGATGAAATTCTTATTTCAAATTAATTTTCGAATCAACATTTTTTATTTTAAATGCCTGCGTGTAATTTGAAGCAGTTGTAGTCGCTATAGTAATTTGCTATATTATATCTATTAGGCGTCTGATGAACAAATAGTTTTTTTTTTTTATGACTGATAATAGTATGGTAACCTCGCCTGCGCTATCGGTATACACTGGCGGGACACCAGTGAGGGATGACAAGTGAAGATAAAGTAGGTCAGTTGACCCATCGTGACAAATTCAAGAATTAACCACGATAGTTTCTAGGAGGAACCGCGTGGAGGTCGACCTGGCAGAGTATATTAGTAGCAACGCCGATGTTAGACCCCATTACGAATAATCCCTTTCCCCCCTACTTAATGTTATAAATATGAAAGTGTTTGTAACTACTTGTTTGTTTGTTTGCGCTTTTGGAGCAAAACCAATCGTCTTCAAATTTGACATACAAATGGATGGAGTAATACAATTTATATTTATCTCGTCCAATCAATATATTATTCCGATAACACGGACAAAGTTGTAGGTGAACACTAGTATAGATAACAACTTACCTTTTGCCCTTGTCCTGCGATAGACCGGCGACATATTTAGTTGATACTTCGTAGATATAGAACTGTGAGGTCACTGCCAATATTGAGTGGATCTGAAATTACAAAAAAAAAAACTTCAGTTGTGGCAAAATCAGTTATATTGTTTTAAAAACTAAACGAATGAATATATTTTGATAAAAAATATGTAAGGTCAAACTGTAATTATATCCTTTTCCATTAAAAAAACCTGAAGTTCGTCTTAGAAATGTACCAATGAGACAATATGATCATTTATATTTACCGCAAACTAACTTAATGATATATAAAAAAAGTAGTTATATAATAGCTTAAAAAATATATAATCATTTGTCAAATAACCTAAAAGAAGTGCCTGATACTAAATTCAAATTATTATTAAAAAAAATGGCTACTCGAAAATGTTTTTTACAATTTGAATGAATTCTTTGCTTTTTGACATTTTTGTTTTATATTGACATTATAAATAATTTAATTAATATATAATAAGGTGATCATTAATATATTCTAATGGTGACCATGAGTTAGTTTGTGACTGTTGATTGATGTGCTTTATTTTATTTTTAACTTTATTGACGATTTTATTGTGTGATTGTATAATAATTAATGTTATGTAATTAATTGTATTGTATGTCCGATGTATGGGTAGGCTGTTTTCCTTTAAGACGTTAATAACATCTTATGAAAAATTGTAATGTACAGCTCATAATAATATATAATAATAATAATAATATTTGTTCTATTCTATTCTAAAAAAGAAATTTCCAAATCGGTTTAGAAGTGGGAAAAAAAGAAATTTCCAAATCGGTTTAGAAATGAAAAAAATAGAAATTTCCAAATCGGTTTAGAAGTGAAAAAAAAGAAATTTCCAAATCGGTTTAGAAGTGAAAAAAAAGAAATTTCCAAATCGGTTTAGAAGTGAAAAAAAAGAAATTTTCAAATCGGTTTAGAAGTAGAAAAAAAAAAGAAATTTCCAAATAAGTTTAGAAGTAGAAAAAAAAAGAAATTTCCAAATCGGTTTAGAAGTGGAAAAAAAAGAAATTACCAAATCGGTTTATAATAATAATAATAATATTTCTTTATTTACGGATTACTAAGATCCATTTTTGTTAGTAACAATTGACTTAAACTATGTTAGTAGAGAAAAAAAAAAATACAAAATTCATTTTATGGCCCCTATAATAATTTTGACCCACAATGAGAGGATCGGGGTTTAGAAGTAGAAAAAAAAGAAATTTCTAAATCGGTTTAGAAGTGACGGAGTTATGACAAATATAAAAAAAAATCAAATTGTGAAACCTCTTGATGATGATCACGATGACGATGATGAGGTATAGAAAACATCCAAACCAAAATAAAAAATAAATGTTTTTATTCTGAGGGGATTGAACTCGCGATCATCATACGGTGAGTCAAACTTCTACATCATTACAGTCATTGAAGTTGATAACTTATCCATTACAATAATACCACTAAAGGGAGACTGTACAAAACTTGTTTGCTTGGGTATCTCTGTCCCACTTATGTTTCTGCCGTAAAGCAGTTGTTTGCATGGCTACTGCAACGTGGACGATGTCATGGGTTAAAAGCTAGTAAATACTATATTATATCGGGGGGAAAGGGATTGTTAGCAATGGAGTTTGACAGCCCCATTGTTAGCAATTTGCCCTATTAAGTCGACCTCCACGTGGTTCCACTTGGAAACCTATTAAATTCGTCACGATGGGCTAACTGACCTGCTTCATCCTCACCTATCATCCTTCACTGGTGCCCCGCCGGTGTATACCGTTAGCATGGGTGGGGTTACCATTCCATTATCACCCATTAAAAAAAAACTATATTATACCTGTCCAAGATTATGACCAGCCCAGAAAGCAGTGATGCCTTCCTCCCTTAAGATCTTCCTAGTCGTTCTGAACCAGATCTTCTTCTTGTCCAGTGCTTGCAGATTCTGCAGTTGGGTCCTTAATTTTACTATATCCATAGGCTGAGTCATGAATCGAGTGGCCATTCCAGAGACGCAACCAGCTATGAGCTTCTGATTTGGGGTCATTATGTCATCTTTCTGGTATCCAACCATTGATGCATGGCTGCCCTTCTCCTTTTATGGGGGAGGTGTTTGTAAGCCCATGATTTCGATAACTCATATTTAGTTCAAAATTTTGTGAAGTTGTCACGGCGAGGATGCAGCTGTCAACTGTCAAGTGATAGAGTTAGTAACACTAAAAAGGTTGTTTAGGAAATGATATTAGTTTCTTTTTCATGGGTGAAAATGACATGGTAACCCCGCCTGCGCTTTCGGTATATTAGTTCTTTTTTAGTGGGTGAAAATGACATGGTAACCTCACCTGCGCGTGTGGGATTCCTGGTGTAGTTATGTCCATAGGCTACGGTAACTCCCTTTACCATCAGACGGAACGTGCTTGTTTGCCACAATAGTAGTTTAAAAAAATGTATGATTATGTTAATATTTTTTAAATCAGCTTAGGTTTCTCATTTTAGTTTTATCACAATCAGGTCGCTAGTTTAGGAAAAAAAGAAACATCAGTATCATTCATAAATATGAAATTATTTTTTTATATTTAAACATAAAAATCTAGAAGTTTAAACAAAACAAGACAGAGTATAAAATAAATTTACAAATAAAGGATATATAAATCCGTAATCTGCAGGAAATGAACCGGCGACATCTAGCGACATTGTCAGAATAAAGACTTGTTTACTTATAACAAGTTTATCTTACAATATGCATTAACCTACTTTCTATAAACGAACATATTCTAAATAACTCAGTTATTATGTGTTGTGTTTATCAATTTTATCACAATTAATATATTATATTGGCGTACATATCCATATTGGGTGAAGGTGTGTGTGTGTGGGGGGGGGGGCGGCATGCACACCCCGGAATTGTCCAGTGCCCACCATAGAAACGAGAATGGCGCTATTGTAAAAGACATATCTAACAGGTGTCCATATACTGCGTTTACCCCGTTCACCGTCAGACTGGCTGTATGCTTATTTGTCAACATAGTAGTAGAACACCCCTCCACCCACTCCACTTTTTGGAAAATAATTTTAAATAAACGAATGTCTATTTGAATAATGTTGCCAGAGGGAGATTTTGTACAAAAGTCGATTGCTTGGGTACCTCTGTCCCATTCGTGTTTCTACCGTGAAGCAGTTGTGTTTGCGTGGTTGTGTTTCGGTTTGAAGAGTGGGATATGGCGCGAAGTTACAGGGTACAGAGGAATAACACCTCAGGAATGACAGCGTCAGCTTGTTAGCCATTCTAATTTGCATATAAAAAAAATTATTAGTGGTGCGTTAAAAAAATAGATCTACACATGTGTAAATAAAAATAAATGGTTGTCTGGGAGAGGTTGCTTAGCAATAAGACCGCTTTTTGTACAGTACTGTGCTTATAGAAAATTGTTCAACAAATCCCGTAATGTTGGTGCAATAAAGTTTTAAATAAATAAGTAAATAAGCATAATTATATCAATACATAAATACATACATATATTTATTTTTTGATAGGTGAAAATGGTATGGTAACCCCGTCTGCGCTAACGGGATACGCTGGCGGAGCACCAGTGAAGGGTGATAGATGAGAATGAAAACAGGCCAGTTAGCCCATCATGACGAATTCATCAGGAATTAACCATGATAGTTTCCAGGGGGAACCACGAGGAGGTCGACCTGGTTGGGTATATTGCTAGCAATGGGATTTTTAGTCTCCATTACTAACAATCCCTTTCCCCCCTTATATATATTAGAAAGGATACAGTCTCATATTGCATAGCAGCTGTTTTGCTTTTAACTATAGGTTTCCGATTCGATTGTTGCCGAACAAAGATACTCGAAAAATTTAATTAACCAACTGTGGCGCTATACCGATTGATAATAACACTAGAGACAGGACCATCGTATAATCTGATAACGCGGTATGGACATTTCGTATCTGTTTCAGACGTATATACACTCTATTACTATTAAACTTAATAAAAATCTAAAAAAACGAATAAGACAGTCCAATGGTTTAATAAAAAAGGATCAATTCTCGTCCTTTTTTTTTAATTTAATTTCTTTTTTTTTTAGTTAGTTTTTTTTAATTAACTGTAATTACTAAGTGTATTAAGAAGTGGTAGCAGTTATATTATGTTATACCATTTTTTGTGTCAATTGGCAGTTATTTGTGGAACTATTCGTGTAGTATTTGGTGTTATAAACAAAACATATCCGTCTTCAGTGTAGACGTGCTTTTTTTTTGCCAGTAAGTTTATATACCTAAATATTATAAAGCTGTTAGCCTTTCCGCTGCTGAACATAAGCTTTCCCCATAAGGGGAGTTCTGCCAGTAGTTGCCACGCGTGGCAGGCGGATTGGTAACCGCAGTTAAGTTGTTAGACATGTTTACCAGAGGGAGACTTTGTACAAAAGTCGATTGCTTGGGTACCTCTGCCCCATTCGTGTTTCAACCGTAAAGCAGTTGTGTTTGCATGGCTGTGTTTCGGTTTGAAGGGTGGGATATGGCGTGAATTTACTGAGTACAGAGAAATAACATCTGAGTCCTCAGGAATGGCAACGCATGGGGGGTATCATGGGCGAAACTGTATGTGTGTGTACTATTATGTCCATAGTATTGCTTTTGTCTATAGGCGACGGTTACCACTTTCCATCAGGTGGGCCGTCAGCATGTTTGCCATTCTAAGTTGTAAAAAAAAAATGTTTAACAGGGATGCAGCTGCCTATCCCTCAACCATAAGTTCCTTTAGTCGCTTCTTAAGACACCCATGGGTGAGGAAGGGATGGCCTATTTTATGCTGGGACTCACACAGTTGTCTATACTGGGATACAGATAAGTTTAAAATATTATAAAGTTTGATACAGACACACGACAAGATTATTTTATGTGTGTAGAGATAAAATATATAAGTACTTACATATTTTTAAAGCCACGCCGCACGAAGCCGCGAGCGAAAGTTAGTATTGAATAAATTTGTTTTGTTACATTTTTTGTCACCCAAATTGAATTTTCTTCGCGCTTTGTTAGATGTTAGAAAAATTATTGTGTTGATCATGTCACGATTTTTAACATACATGTAAATTTGATATAGAAACAGACAAAAAGGTTTCGCAATTCACTTGTTTTTTTTTTGGCTAATACAGACGTTATTTTGTTTTTTTTTTTTGGCGGGAGAAAAACTTTTTTCGTCCATAATAATGTAGTTGTTTATGATAAACAAATCTTTATAACTAAACTAATATTATACACAGAAAAGGTTGTTTTTTTTATTTATTTTTTTTATAGACCAACTGGAAATCTAATTAAACGATTTAAAAAAAAGTTGCTCCTTGTTGAAAGCTATGTTATCACAGAGTAATAGAGCCGGAATTTTATTTGCAAAAACCCGCGCAATACTGAGACGATTCGCTGCTGCGTTATATATTTATATTGTACAGATGTTTATATTACTTTCGGAGGCGTTCATTGATGGTTTTCCTATAAGTTGCCAACATCGTAGTACATCGCTACGTCAAGAAGGGACGGTCGAAGGACCGTTGTCGACAGCGCTTCGCGGCGGTTGCACGCGTCGAGGCAGAGTCGAGATGGCCGAATCGGATAAAATTAAGGTACTTTTTTTTAATGAATGTTAATCGAATAATACTTTACAGTATAGGTTTATAATGTTTTTTTTTATGATCAAAATGGAATAATATAGCCACATATAGGCATAGGTATACGCTAACGGGGTACCAGTGAGTGATGACAGGTGAAGATGAAGACAGGTCAGTTGGCTCAACGTGAGGAATTCATTTGGAATTGACCAGGATGTTTTCCAAGGAGAACCCCTTGGAGGTCAACCTGTGTGTGTGTATATTACTAACAATGGGGACACTAGTCCCCATTACCAACAATCCCTTCCCCCTGATTTAGTAATATACAAATGGGACAGTGTGACGTGGACTTCACGTGGTATTGCGATGTATTAATTAAAAAAAAAACTGCTTTTGTATATTGTAACTTTTAACTTTGAATTTCTGTGTTTCAAAACACATTTTTCAATGTAGGTTTAACGTTAATTGTCATCCTAGGACTAGGCAATAGTTTCTGTCACTCATTGTTTATGACTTATTAATCAGAGTAGTTTATATTTATTAAAATAAACCTAATCTACATATTACAAAGGTATATTTTTAATAATGAAATCATTAGTTCCCTTTACCAATAATACAGCTAAAAAAAATAACATATCACGTACGCAATTGACAGAGACTCTTAATACTAGAAAGGGATAAACTATTACATACTATCATGACACATGTACAACAAAAATAAAGTTTTTTTTAATAATATACAAATGTTTTTGTGTGTTTATAATTATCAATTAAGCATCTTGTCGAAATAATAAAAAAAAAAAACTACATTCAGTTGTTGTAATGTTTTCAAAAAAAGAACGACAAATATGATAACGTGCTACTCAAATTTTAAGCCATAGAAAGAGAATGTTAAGTAGGTTCGCAGGTGTTATTCTAGATCTATGAATATATTTTATTTGGAAACAATTTATTAATGTTACATACGTTGTCTACGGTTACATCATGTAATGACATGTCCATTAGATGAAATTGAGTATTAAGCGTGTGAAAATAAGAATTATTTTTAATCGAAGTGATCAATTCTTATTTCAAAAGTTTAAGACTATTTTGAATACAATTAAAAATATGCTTAAAAAAAAGTATTAATAAATAGAAAATAATACTAATTTCACTTGAAATTTATTATAAATTGATAGTTCTTAATTTTAAATTAATTATATTTAAAAATATATCTTCATATTATCAATTTAAATTATGATATTTATTTATTGGATTTTTTTGTTTATTAAATCAACTAAAAACTAACTTTTACCTGCGACTTGGTCCACGTGGTTCGTATCTTTACTGATCGGGACAAAAAATAACCTGTAACCTTCTTCAACCCATATGTATAGAAAATTTCATAGTAATTAGTCGTAACCGTCGCCTATAGATATGAGCGGTACCATGAACATAACAGAGTGTACTGTTTCGCCCATGATACCCATGCGTTGCCACTCCTGAGGACTCAGGTGTTATTCCTCTGTACCCAGTAAATTCACGCCATATCCCACCCTTCAAACCGAAACACAGCCATGCAAACACAACTGCTTCACGGTTGAAACACGAATGGAATTCCAATTGGTTGACCACCTCCTTTATTCACTAGATCTGGCGCCTAGCTATTTTTATCTGTTCCCCAAATTGAAAGAATACTTAAGGGAAAACAGGTACGAGGACGATAACGAGGTGATGGATGCCGTGGAAAGCTTTTTGCAGGACCAAGACAAAACTTTTTTTGAAAGGGATTGAAGCATTGGAAAAGCGCTGGACTCGGTGTGTAGAGAGACTCGGAGACGATGTAGAAAAATAAATTATTAAGGTTTCAATAGTATAGAATAGAATAGAAAATCATTTATTCAAATAAACTTACATTGAAGCACTTTTGAATAGTCATTACATTTTTTTTAATCTACCGCTCGTTCGGAAAGCTGTCTCATAGTCGTTATATTCTATCTCATTCTCACTACTTTTTGATCCCTCCCCATATATGTCATATCATCTGATATTCTACACGACATTGTTAATTTAATTTTTAGAGGATGCCATGTTGAATGTAACGTGACGTTACATAGCATATAATCAGCTGACGACCAGAACGCTTATACCAAAACCACTTTTGTCGAATTATGATAAGTAGTTTAAAAGTTATTAAGGAAGAGATTAACATACATACATACCTGTCAAAATCATAAACCTCGTTTTCGCCTTGCTCTTGATTTTCTTTCGCTTAATTTTCTGCATCCCCTGGATGTCGCAGTGGGTGTCCACAGTGATTCTTTAATAGCATTGATCTTGATCTTTATTTCAGCTCATTCCACATCCTCCCAACGTTGTCTTCTTCTGCTAGAACCATACGTCGCCAAGTTTGTTTGGTGCGGCCACATATTTGTTTCCTTTGAAAGATTCAATCAAGCGTCTTTCCTTCTATACTTATTTTTGAGTTTCTGCGTATTTACGAGCTACTTTTATTGTAAAATACACTTTAAGTTCACGGTGAAAAATATTACTAATGTACTCTTTTTATTCTGAGTACTTTATTTTGGAAACGTACAATTTTCATATGGTTATGTTCAGTACATCCCCATAATTGTACACCATAAGTCCAAATTGTTATAAAGACTTGATTATATAACATTACTTTATCATGTCCTGACAATTTAAAATTCTTTGCAAGTAACCAATATATGTTTTTGTATCAAAGATTTAATTCATCGCGTTTCTTTTTGATATGTACCAGCAAAGCTTTGCGTCAAATGTCATGTCCAAGTTCTGGCTGTAATTTCATAAGGTATAACAAGACTCTTTAAGTACAGTAATAATCTTGTTTATTGTTGGTAAAATTTATGCGAGATGATTTTATCTCATTTAATTTAATGCCCCAATTTTTAGTTTAATTTTTAAAACAATTTAAAGCAGTTTGTAATTCGTTTACTGCTTTCTTGTAAGTGTAGTTTACTAACATGTTATGCGATTTCTATCATTTAAAATTCGTTTAAGTCTTTATTAAAAAAAGTTTTTGTAGATATGTATGTTTTTTTTTTATATTTTTTTGTTGTAGTTATGTAAAGTTAGAGATTTAAGTATTGTTCCTTTTTCGGGACACATTTTGGTGGGCATTATATATGTACGTGATATAATCACAGAATAACTCTTGGTTTTTATGCTCACAGTTACAGCTTGGGTACCTTTTTGATATTTTCAAACTGAAGGACATCTTTTATAATATCGGCATTTCCTCCTATAATTTCAGCAATATTGTTAGGATGTAATGCAATTTAATATTCTTTTAATTCGATGAAAACATTGCTTAGTGAAATGTGTTTCGGATACTAGACTTACATTAGTTCTTTACATCTGGGGCTACTTGTAGTTCATTTCGAATCTGTTTATCTCAGTATTTTTAGTACTGAATTCTAGTTTCTCAGCCTATTATCGAAATATATCACGATGTTAAAAATTTTATTTATCTTTTATTTGATGGTAGTATCATATTGATGTGAAGCCGGCTGACTACCTTTGGTTACCTGGACATATGACATATTTTTACTGCTATTATTGCTTTCGTTATTTGTACTGTTTTTTATTGCTTGAGATTCAATTGCCTCATTTACTACTATTTTTGTTGTTTTTGAATTATTTTTCATTGGGCTAGGTACCTTAGTTACTTGGGCATATGACATATTTTTTAATAGATGGCAGTTGTTATTTTCGTTATTGTTTTTTACTGTTTTAAAATCAATTGCCTTATTTACTACTATTTTCTGTGTTTTTGAATCACTTTTCATTGGTCTGGGTACTTTAGTTACTTGGGCATATGACACATTTTTTAATAGGTGGCAGTTGTTATTTTCTTTATCGTTTTTTGCTTGATTTACTACCATTTCTGGCACTTTTGAATCCTTTTTAATTAGGCTGGGTACCTTAGTTACCTGGGCATATGTCATATTTTTTAATACGCGGCAGTCGCTATTGCTTTTATTGTATTTTACTATTTGAGAGTCAATTGTTTCATTTACTACTTCTGGTGCTTTTGAATCATTTTTCATTGAGCTAGTTACCTTGGTTACCTGGGCATATGTCATGTTTTTTACTGTGTGAGGGCCAATTGCCTTATATTCTACTGTTTTTGGTATTTCTGAATCATTTTTCATTAGGTTATGTATCTCTTTGACTACTATACAATTCTTGTAAGAAGCAGGATGTGCTTCTCCACAGTTTACACACTGTGGTTTCGCTTCTGCTGGTATTTTACATTTTTTAGTCCAATGATTTCCTGCACATATTTTACACCGAGGTTCATTAGAACAATTTTTATTTGTGTGGCCATATGCTTGACATATAAAACATTGCGGAATCTGTTTTAAAGCTTTGATAGGATATATTTCAACTCTGCAACCAAGAATGTATTTTATGTCAAATATTTTATGTATGTCTTCATCGTTTTGAAACGATAGAAGAAACGTGTTTGTCGATTCCTTGTGTTTCCAAGTTAATTTCCTGACCGCATCCTGTATTTTGTAACCCTTAGATGACAGATATTCTATTATTTTAGCAGGTTCACACGAGGAAGGCAAATGTTTTGCTATAACTGTAACTGGCTTACCTCGATTATTTTCATAAGAGTACCACAGATGATTATTTTTTTCCAATAATGCTGTGATACCTCTATATGAATTTTCATCATTGGCGATTATTTTAATGTTTCGTTCACTCATTATTTTGGCGCGAAATGAGTCTTTTAATTGATTTTCTGTTAAAAAGTCATAAAAGTCCTGGTAATTTTTTATATTTGCTACTATGATAGGTGGTGGCAAGGGAAGTTTTTTATTATAATTTTTTTCTTCAGTCGATGCTTCCAACGTCGTCTTTTTTCTGCCCTGATACTCTTCCGACTCTGTCTTTTTTGCTAGCTCTTCTTCATTTATATTATTTGTGGCCTGACGAGGAACCGTTTCTATGCCGCTCACGTCTTTATTATTTAATATATCGAT